TTGGCTGCCTCCTGCAGCACTGGGGATCCAGCCCGCAATCTGGGCATGTGCCCTGCCCGGGAATAAAACTGGCGACCTTTCAGTACACAGGATGACGCCCAACCAACTAAGCCACACTGCCCAGGGCTGTCTTGACTTTTTAAAAATCTGTTTTGATCCCAGCCAGTGTGGCTTAGTGGATCGAGCATTGTCTCATGGACTAAGAGGTTCTGGTTTGATTCCTGGTCAGGGCACATGCCCAGGTTTCAGGCTTGAACCTCAGTAGGGGGCCATGCAGGAGGCAGCTGCTGATCAATGTCTCTCTCTCACATCAATGTTTCTCTCTCTCTCTCCTTTCCTCTCTTTAAAAAAAAATAAAAGCAAGAGAACATGCTTTTTTTAAAAAAAAAAAAATTAGTTCTGACAATCTCTTTGAGGTGTTTAAACCATTGATATTTAATGTAAATGTGTTATGATTTAGATCTATTTCATTATTGGTTTTCTGTTTGTACTTTACATTTCCCTTTGTTTGCCTTCAGCTGCTTATTTTAATTTAATTTACCTAATACAAGGGTAGGCAAAAGCGGGTTTACAGTTGTGAGTATATGAAACACAGAGTTTATTCTTATATTAGTATTTATTTTTGTATTATTTATTAGTATTATATAAACCTTTCACCCATCTTGTATAGATTTAATCTATTTTATTCTCTATTACAATTATATTTTCATTTATATCAAATACTTTTAATTTATTATCTACATTTTAATTATCTGTTGGTTTTTTTGCTATATTTTTTTGTATATACAGGGTGGGGCAAAACTAGGTTTACAGTTGTACGTGAAACACTTTATTCTTGTATTATTATTATATTATTTTCCATATGAACAACTAAACTTACTTTTGCCCCACCTTGTATATATTCCTTTTGTAATCAGAATCTTTCTTTTGAACAAGATTCTCCACATTATTCACTTGCATATTAACTTTTTTGAAGCACTTGTTTAGAAAAGTTATAAATAACTTGATCAGGGTCACCCAGCATATCAATTGTAAAGCTCTAAGATAAGAAGAACCTGGTTAAATGACTTTAGAGCCCTATGCTCTTAAATATTATGTTGTCTTGCTGAATGATTTTTTTTTTTAATCCTCACCTGAGGATATTTTTCTATTTATCTTCAGGTAGAGAAGGAGGGAGAGACAGGGAGAGAGAGAAACATCAACATGAGAGGGACACATTGACTGATTGCCTCCTGCATGACCCTGATCAGGGCCAGGGTGGGGGACAAACCACAACCGAAGTATGTGCCTTTGGCTGGAATTGAACCCAAGACTCATTGGTCCGCATGCTGTCGCTCTACTCCTGAGCCAAACCAGCCAGGGCTTGATGAATGATTTTTAATCTGGGTTTGAACAACTCCAAAATTAGTATGATGTTTACATTGAGCTAAAAAGATATATATGTTTCCTTGTGGACTTTTCAAGTCATACTGTATTAATATAATTCCTCTTCCACAAGACAATACTTCAAATATTTAAAGATATTTGTTATCTTTCTTCTTCCCTGGATTTTTTTCCATATTAAACATCCCCAAATCTGATTACTTTTTTTCATATAACATGGTTTTAAGTCTCATGAGCTGCATGCAATCTTGTTTATCTACATTCCTCTTAAAAGGTGATGCTACTCGGAGATTCACATTATGATTTTCTTTAATTTGATGTTATGTAAACAAGAGGTTGCCTAATTTTGTATATAATGCACCTGTATTTATTAATGCCTTCTAGTTATATAAAGGAAATGTAAGACAGATACCTGCTTTCAAGTTTAGCATCTATTTAGGGAGAGAGAACTAACACATCTGAAAAACTGGAAAGCAGTATATATCAGTGTATGAAGTAAACTTTGAAGTTAAAGTTCCCCAAACTTGAACATATTTCCACACGCAGGAAGACAACTACAATATGTAATGTGTAGGGACAGTTTATATAGAAGTTCTATATATTTATTTATGAGTAAAATTTCTTACTAGCTACAGTTATTTTTAAGCAGTTTAACCAATCAGTTTTATTTATTATGAATGGTATTATTCACATTCAGATCCAAGCAGATAGCAAATCCAACATCAGTTTTTGACTATAGATATTACTTTCTAGGTAAGAACCATGGCTTTCTCAGATGTTTTCTCCTCCTCCATCAAAGAATTTGGATTTTTTTGGTGACTTATTTTTCATCATCCCCTCCCAAATTGTTTTTAAAAATATATATTTCTACTCTAGGATATATCATTGCATATTATTACAGAGAAAAAAATCATTTGAGATATAAAGATAATAGATAGTCAGGTTCATTCACTATCTTAGGGAACATACACAAATCAGAATCACATCCCAGAAATATAGTTAGTTATGTCATGGGCATTAAGGATTATTCTTGAATAGTCAAAATTGTCTTGAATTATGAAGTATTGAAGTGTGTGGGATGTAGATCATAATTACATGTGTAAGTGAGAGGAAGGAGAAATTTCACTTGTTCATTTCTAATCAAATCAATGAGGTTTGAAGCATGGGAAAAATCAGAATAAAAGTGTTTTATTTTATTGGGTTTAGTTTTAAGGGCATTCAAGAAAACTTTAGCATTTTAAAAAATTATAGGGTATAAAATTATATTGAATAAAAATTAATTTTTAGGTTATTGCTCATTTATGTGGGAGAAAATTTTCCCATTGATTTGAAATTATGAAAAATTGTATTTTACCAGCTGTTATAAAAATTTGCACTAATCCATGTGCCCATGGAGTAACTGAAAATTAAATGTAGACAACAAAAGCTGGGCATATAATTGGAAGTCCTGTGTGCCTGAGTAAGCAATACCAGAAAACATAAAAATTACAGTATGACCTTGACTAATAACTCTTTCTACTATTTATTTGGTCATTTCCCCTTTATGTAGGACACTGTGCTACCTATTGAGAATCTAGAAGAAAGGGACCAAGTCCCTGACTTGGAAGGCACACTGAAGGACAAAAAGGTCTAGCGTCATGATGATTTTTTAGGTACCTGTGAGCCACCCCAGTTAATGTACCCAAGTCCTGCAGGACCTACCCCATGGGGACCTCACTCTAGCATTTCTGCTAAGTGTGAGAGAAGGCTGAATAATTTAGGGAAATGAGATTTTAAGATTGGACTACCTATATATATTATTGCTTAAGTCTTTTATTATTAATAAATACCCAGAGACATTCAGCAGATGAATTGGTTATGTCAGTCAAATTATTGGTGTTCCTAACTAGATTCATAAAATGTATTTAAAAGTATTAAAAATAAATAAAATTTATTTAAAAGTATTAAAAATTTATAGTTACCTTTAGGATCAAGAGCGTAAGTTCAATTTACCATCATAATTAAAGCTTTACCATCTGCAGCTTGAGTTTCCTTTGTTCCTTGAAAAAGTTAGGGCACAAATAAGCTGTTCTGTTAGGTTCATTTTTCAAATACTATTTGTGATGAATCTTAGTTATCCTTGAGGAATGCCTGTCTATCTTGGGAAAGACTTAGCGGCTAGTCATAAGTTCAACATATCATTTGGTATACCCAGAGCATGAAGAGGAAACATGTCAGATCCTTTTTTTTTTTTAATTGAATTTATTGGGGTGACACATTGCTTAACAAAATTATACAGGTTTCAGGTACACAATTCCACAACACATCATCTGTACACTATATTGTGTGTTCATCCCCCCAAGTCCATTCTCCTTCCAACATCATTTACGCCCCCATACCCTCCTCTTTCCCCCAAGTCCCTCTTCCCTTGGCAATCACCACACTATGTCTGTGTCCATGAGTTTTTCTTTTTTTTTCTTAAATCCCTCAACAACCACCTCTAGCCCCCTAACAGCTGTCCAGGCTCCTTCACATGGTTTAGATGACAGCCTCCCTTTTTGGCTCCACCTCTTTCAATCTGCTTTAATCATGTTGACCTTTCCTTTTCCTGTTTCTTGAGTGCAACAAGCTCTATCCCACTCGTTCTTGCCCTGGGGTCTTTGGTCTGGGTTGGTTTTCTCCCTGAAAATTGTCATTCATTCTTGCTTATATCCGGTCTCAGTTCAAATGTTGTTTCCTCAGAAAGGGCTGCACTAACCTACCATGTCAGAAGTACCCTTCCATACACATATATCTGGTCATGTTCCATAATTTGTCAATATTATAGAATATTATATGTCGTTTCACTACCAGAAATGATCTTATTTACTTAATTTGCTCTCTCTGACACAAATTAAGGAGAATTGAAACTCTCTGAGGACTGGGATTTCATCTGTTTGCCATAATATACTCAAAGCCTAAGTTTTTGTGAACATTAAATTTATTATTCATGTAAAGTTCTCAGAAGCTCTTGTCAGCTGCTATATTGTTGTTGTTACTATAAGTAGTAGTAGTGAGATATGTAGACATTTGTAGAAACTTAGAGGAATAATGTATTGAGAATAGAGTACATTCAAGATAATACATAATTATAAAAATTGAGTACTCTAGGATACATTATACATATAAAGCATTTCTATTTTTATAGGATCGAAAAATAAAAGTCAAAATAATAGTGCTCTAAATAAAAGTCAAACTAATAGTGCTCTGATTAGAATTCATCCCCACATTTTTCACATAAGAGTTTAGACAATTGTGGTCAGACCATTAGAGTACAAAGCCGGGAATCCTCAAAAAATACATTTATCTCCCAAATTTGTGAACCAGTAGGGACATGGGATTGTATTTTTTAACTTTTCAGTTTAAAGCCAGTTTTGCTGGAAACACTTGTTCCTGGATATTGGATTAAAACTTTTTTTTTTCCTGATCTAGACCTTGTACAAAGTCAGGTAACATAGTATGCTCTTGATGATATTCAGTGTTGCGTGCTTCACTGTATTGCCTTTTTCTTGGTGTTGTCATTGGAAATAAATGTGTATTTACACAGCATTCCGTATATTATAAGTTATTTTGCCTTTTGTCTCTATCTGTAATCATAGGTAACAGTTAACCTTTTCCAAATGCAACAAGTACGGGCTGCCTCCCTTGCGAACAGTTTGCAGTCTCTTTGTGATAGTGCCAAACTCTATGATCCAGGCCAAGAGTATACTGAATTTGTCAGGGCCACGAGTTCAACCGAAGAAGATAAAGTTGATGGGTGAGAATTAATGTACAGCTGAAATTTTGTCAAGAGAGAAAATATTTATTGCTAAGTTCCTATCTGGTATGAAGTGGTATCTTTTTCAACTTCGGCAGAATTAACTTTAATTTTGTTTTGTTTTGTTTTGTCTTAAGCCTTTTATTTGACCCAGAGCTTAGTTCTTTGAGATTTAGGAATCTTTTGAGAATGGTACACCATGGTCATACCTATTTTGAATGTATAGTACACAGATTTAATATACATTATCCACAGAGATTATACTAGAAAAATTTAACCATGACATGAATTAACTTTACTTTTGCTACTCTTTACTATATTTCAGCTGTAATTAGTACAGATGATTTTTACTCATATCTCCTTTAGGAAATTGAACCATGAAATATGGTTTGTTCTTAATATTTAGTTAAATTACTCTACATTCATTAAATTGACATTTTTCTGAAACGAGAATAAAATAGGCTGATTATTAGACATCCTCGGTGATGAATTGTATTTGGGTTTTTCTTAGAAATGTAACTAAACAATTAACAAATAGTTCCAACACTTCTGGTTATAGACCTTCTGACTCTTTAGAGGATGTTGCACGCCTTCCTGACAGTTGTAGTAAGATTGAAGAGGACAGGTGCTCCAACAGTGCAGATATCACAGGTGGGTTTTCACACTAAAGACAGCACTGATTTTTATGAAAGATCAAATTGTTTAAATGTGATTATTAAATGAGTTGCAACCCTGGAATTTAAAAAACAGGCCTTGAATTGTAACTTTATGAAGCCTTATTCACAGTTTTAATTAAGCACTATGCTTGTCTTAAAATCAATTATTGATTACAGTTAAAGAAACTTGATATGTCTCATTGTATATGATGTCAGTATTTTGCCTTATAATCTATCTGCAGCCAAGTTTAATGTTAAATATTCTTTTCTTAAAGGTCCTTCTTTTATAAGGTCATGGACATTTGGGATGTTCAGTGACTCTGAGAGCACTGGAGGAAGCAGCGAGTCTAGATCTCTGGATTCAGAATCTATAAGTCCAGGTATATAAGTATTTAAGTCTAGCAGTTGAAAATTCAATGAAAGATGAAAATATTCCTTTTGGGGAATATTTCATAAATATATTTATAATGAATTAGCTCATAGAGAGCAGTTTGTACGTATATATGTATAGTTAAAAGAAAAATAATAAAACAACCCATTCTATATTCACCACCCAGCCTAAGAAATAGAGCACTATTAGTATATTAGGGCCCTCTGTACACCTCCATGATAACATTGCCCCCTTCAACCAGAATAAACCATCATCCTGAATTTTGTTACTCATTCCCTAGCTATTTTAAATGTTTTAGTACCTATACCTAGTTGAGCTTTGCCTTCTTCAGAATGATATGCAGATGGAATCATGCTCTTTTGTGACTTCTTTCTTGCATCTTTTCTTTTTTTTTGAGGTCTATATTGGTGTAAGTAGTCATCTTTATTTTTTATTATACTTTGGATAGTATTCTATTCTGTTAACATAACTATCATCTACTTTTTGGATTGTTTTGTAGTTAATTGCTATAATGAACACATAGTTAACACTAATTCTTGTATCTATGATTACTTATTCTTATTAATGTTTTATAAATGTATTTTAAGGTACTTTGATAATCTCATGCTCTTTAGAGAGGCAGAGAGGGTATTTTGAAAGCTCCTATCATGGCTTCTTCTCCGCTCCTCTGCCAAAGACTGATTCAGTTCTGTTCTTCCTGGCAACATATCTTCCTCCTAGGATCTTAGCGTTACAGGAGATAACGTTATAGGATTTAACCACAAAATCCAAGGCATTATTTTTTAGGTTCTACATATTATAGAAATTTTACTCATGTAAAGAAATCTCTTGAATTTAGGTTAGAAATAATTTCCATGCAGCACTGTAGTTTGTAGGCTTGCTTTGTGGCCTCCTTCAAAACTAGTTCTGTTCTGGGGACACTTTGGAGATGTGAGCCTAAATATTTAATTGAATATTTGTAATTAGCTTTAAAAAACAGTGTTCAATCAAGACCTGTTTTAGAGAAAACCCTAAATTATTTGGAACCCTATGAGACTTCTTTTAATTAGACAAAAATGTGGAAACTTGACCATAAGATAAATGGGTGAAGACCTGAAGATGCCTAGTCTGGGAAAGAAGAAACTCGGGAACATGACAGTTGTCCTTAAATATTGTAAGTGTTAAGTAAAGTGCTTTTGCTTGCTCCTTTAGGGAGAAGTATGACCTAAGACTAGGATTTATAGAGAGGCAGATTTCTGCTCAATAATATAAGGAAGCAATTTTACAATTAGAGTAGTTGTAAGAATGGAACATGTGACCTTATGATTTCTCAGTCATTGGGGACACATTCAAAGCAAAAACTAGGTGACTACCTTTTAAGCAGAAGAATCTTGGGGCCATGGTGGGGGTTGTTAGTTTAAATAATTTATAAAGCCCTTCCTAACTCTGAACCTTAGGCAGTTAAGGCTGTGAGTTAAGTGAATTATTAACCATAACCCTGTTTCCAATATCAGCAGGGAACAAATAAAAAGAAATGTCATTGACTTTTTGGGCCTCTTCTGAACATGCTTAGATACACATGGCCGTGTCCTTTGCTGACATAGCGTGTTTGCATCCTGTGCTCTCAGTTCCCTGCCAGGAATCATTGTTCCTGGTTCTAGGTCTCTTGTCTTACTGGTAACATAACTGTGATACTGTTGTATTGCTGAATTTAAAAGATTTTTGTTTATTTTACAAAGCTTTAGGTTATATTGTATACATTTATTTATAACAATTCAACAAGCATTTAATGACAACTTTGCTATTTGTTACTGTGTCACCCACTCTGTTAGTTATTAGATATAAGATGTGAATAGAAAATACTCCCAGTTTTATAGAGCTTACCATCTCAAATACTTACTATCAGAAATCAACAGTTTAGGTCTCATTGGGATGTATGATCCTCAATTTTACATTCAGATGGAAAAGTCCATTTTGGTTCAGTTTTCTTTTGTTTCCAGAAATCGGTATCCAAAATCTCTGTATCCAAAGTCTGAGAATGGAAGCAAATTTTTACATTGTAGCTAATAAAATAGTATGACTGTGTTATTTAAAAGATGTCATTTTGCCCTGGCTTGGTAGCTCAGTTGGTTAGAGCATTGTCCCGATGCACCAGGGCTGCAGGTTCAGTCTCTGGTCTGGGCACATAAAGAGGCAACCAATGAATGCATAAATAAGTGGAACAATAACAACAACAAGAAGATGTTGTCATTACTCATTTATAAAATTCAACAGTGCATTGGCAGGTAATTGTTGTATTCATTATTTTCTTTTAGGAGACTTTCATCGAAAACTTCCACGAACTCCATCCAGTGGAACCATGTCTTCTGCAGATGATCTAGATGAAAGAGAGCCACCGTCCCCTTCAGAAGCTGGTATTGAAACTATCACTGAATCAAGCTCTCGCTAACCCAATTGAATCAGTAGCACTGCATGATATTAGGAAAAGAATATAATTTAAAGAATTACTTTGCTATGTATTAAAGAAAAGGCATTGTAATGACTTAAATATATCAAATATAGCCCAACAATGTATGTACAAGTATGGACTGAAAATATGTTAATCAAATGTTACAAATACAAAAGGTGAACCTTAGGCATGGTATTAAAGTAGGCTAGATATTTTTATCTTTCATGAACCTAATATTGTGATTTACCTGCTGAAAGTGTTGCCATGCATGAGAAATTATGAAAAAACCTCTTCAATAGAAATAGAGCACAGAGTTAAGCAGGAAAAGTAAATAAGTGTATTTCTTGAGGACATGGAAAGTTGTGGATGTTGAAGGATATAAAAGAGAAGTCTTTTACCTTAATGACTTAAATTAGACTCCTATAAATTACTTTTGCATATTTGAAACCTCCAGATACCTGTTTTAGCATCATTTTCTAAAATAATATAGAACATTTGACCTCCAGCAGGATATTCATATATTACTACCTAGTATTATCTATACTTTTATGATGATTTAAGAATAGCCTTATCCTTATTGCAGTTATGACACAGTTATCTCATACAGCTAGTTTTCTTTGAAGATTTTATAAAAGGGGTATTTTCTAAGAATGTTATTACACCCTTCCAGCTCACTAAAGGGCATATTAATAACTGTTAACTTTCCGATTCTGAAAATATTATGCTGTGCTATTTTAGAAGTATCTTTGGTGGTGATTTTTTTTACTCATCATTAAAATGTTTGATAAATCTATGCCTTGTAAGAGATTTCTAAATTAGATCCTTATTTTGATTGTATAGAATAAAATAATAGCTTTTTGTAATAAAGGAATGATTTAAAATTTTTCAAAATATACTATCCTATGGAAAAAAAATGCCATCTTACAATTCTTGTCTAATAATCAATTTTTATTGCAAGGACCCAGTTCACTTGGAACATATAAGAAAACATTGATGTCAAAGGCAGCTCTCACTCACAAGTTTCGCAAGTTGAGATCCCCCACGAAGTGTAGGGATTGTGAAGGCATTGTGGTATTCCAAGGTGTTGAATGTGAAGAGGTAAGATCTTTCTGGAATTACATTAGCCCCTTAACACTTTTTGTGTTATACTTTTTAAAATGAATTTTACTAATTAGAATCTTTGCAAATGAAGCACAGTGTACCTTCTATAATTTTATATTTATTTTGCTGTTAAATGTATGTCAAATTTAACATGTAATACCTTCTAAGCTCATTTTTTGTTGTGTTACCACTCTACTTATATAGCTTTTCCAGTTGTGAATAATTTTAAGATAAGTTAACCAGTTTTGAACTATCATTTTCTTAGTGTCTCCTTGTTTGTCACCGAAAGTGCTTGGAAAATTTAGTCATCATTTGTGGTCATCAAAAACTTCTGGGGAAAATGCACTTATTTGGAGCAGAATTCACACAGGTTGCAAAAAAGGAACCAGATGGCATCCCTTTTATACTCAAAATATGTGCCTCAGAGATTGAAAGTAGAGCTTTGTGTCTACAGGTAAGTTGTAACTCTTAAAATTAAAATTTTTAAACATAAATGCTTGTGTGATTTGTTCTCATGATAAGGAGACTTTAAAGGAAAACGGTATTCTCATTTTTTAATAAGTAATTTTATTCATATTTGGAAAATATTACCTCATTTTACCCATTTTTTCCCTAAAATATTAATAAAAATTGAAGTACACACATCAAATATATTTAGATGTCCATATTTAGACATTTGTACTAACGCAGAATTTTGCACTATTTTCTCCCTTTCTTCTCAAGGGAATTTATCGTGTATGTGGAAACAAGATAAAAACAGAGAAATTGTGTCAAGCTTTGGAAAATGGGATGCACTTGGTAGACATTTCAGAATTTAGTTCACATGATATCTGTGATGTCTTGAAATTATACCTTCGACAGGTAAAATATTTTACCCTTGAAACTTATCATTAACTAGAAGAGAGCAAAAATATGATTTGTATTTTGCTGATTACATTTGCTACACACATATTTTCATTGACATAGAGCATATTAATATCTTCCTTAATGTATAGATCAAAGTGTGTATAAAATGCATCTTTAGTTTACAGACCAATAGTAATAAAAACAAACATTCATTTTCCATTCCCTAGCTTAAGGAAGTAGAACATGACTATACCTTTCAAAAGGGTCGTATGTGCGCCTTCCCCTTTCAGCTTCTAATCCCACACCAGTGATCTTTCCCAACCATGTTAATAACTCCCTCTCTTTTCTTACTAGTTTTAACACCTATTGTGTATTCCTAAACATTAAATTTCAAAAAACTAAGTTTTAGAAAACTAAGCAGAAAGCATAAATCGAGCTGTGTAAGGAAAGGCTATTACATTGTTAGAAGAAGGGTTGATTCAGAAAGAACAGAGTCTGGGTCATAGTTCAGCTTTACCTTCATTGACATTTTAAAATAGGTCTTGTGGGAGGTCAGTGGGCAAGGTCATGGATGAATCCTGGAAGTTCACCACACTTGGGGCATCAGGCAAGGCTCTCATGTAAGCTGGAATATTCAACAGGAATATGGTGGAGTGGGCTGCTGTTTCTGTGCTACTGTTGCACCTGCGGTTTACAGGATTCGGTTCAAAGAAAACGTGTGGGGTGAAATAAATGGCCTGCGTGACTTCAAGGAGCAGCTCATGGAGGGGTTGCTGGGATAATCAGCACACTGTCATGATGAGCCAAGTGTTAAAAATTACCTGGGCCAAGCCCAGCTGCCTTCTGTCCTGTGGTGAAAATGAAGAGACAGTTACCAAGAGCATAGTGACCATGGACCTGAACATGTCACTCTTCAGCGTTCTGCTCTCCAGGTGTTATCCTGGGTCCACCCTCTAGTCTTCTGTGAGGGAGCAACCTGTCTTCTGTGTTTTGTTGTATTGATATATTCTTCTGCTTTAGTCATGCCCATCTCTTGAGCAAGGTGGAATAAGAGTAAATATTTGAAACCTTATTTATCTGTCTTTATTCCATTTTCTTATTTTATTTTATTTATTTATTTAATCCTCACCTGAGGACATTTTTGCATTTATTTTCAGATAGAGCGGAAGAGAGAGAAAGAGAGAGAAACATTGATGTGAGAGAGACACATCGAGTGGTTGCCACCCACATGACCCTAACTGGGGCCTGGGACAATCTGCAACTTAGGTACGTGCCCTTAGTGGGAACGAACCCGGGACTCTCTGGTCCATGGGCTGACGCTCTGACCCCTGAGCCAAACCGGCCAAGGCTTTATTCCATTTTCTTGATGGGAATGGAAGAATGTGGATGATGTAGAAGGATAATAGTAATCTAGGCTGGAAGTTATTTTTCTTCAGAATTTTGAAGGCATTTTTCTTGTCTTTGAAGCCTCAGATCCTTCTCATTCTGCTCATTCTGGAGTCTTTCTATGTGGCCTATTTTTTTTTTTTTTTCCCCTCTCTGAAAGCTTATGGAACCTTCTTTTTCTCCCTATTTTAAAATTTCACAATGAAATGCCTTGATGTGGGTGTATTTCATCTGTTTCAGGCATTCTGTGAACTATCATTCTGGTTATTTGTCCTTTAGTTCTTGGAACTTTTATATTATTGGCCAATTTCTCCCCTTAGTTTTCTTTCTGGAACTTATATTTGGATACTTGACAACTTATACTGGTTCTGTAGTTCTTTTTTCTCTATTTATTTTTTTTGGTTTTTGTTTTCTTTTAACACTTTCTAAGAGATTTCCTAAGCTTTTCTTTCACCCCTACTGTAAAGTACTTTATTTCTAATGTCATGTTTTAATTTCTAAGAACTCTGGTTCTCTGTTTCTTCTATAGCATTCTTTCTTCTTAAATGAATGCAGTATTTTACCCACCTGAGGGTATTCATAACTTTTTTTTTTTTTTTTAAGTTCTTGCGCTACTGGGTAGATGAGTTGGTTGGAGCATTGTCCCGATGTGCCAGGGTTGAAGTTGGATCTCTGGTCAGGGCACACACAGGCCTCAATCAGTGAATGCATGGATGGGTGGAACAACAAATTGATGCTTCTCTCTCTCAGATCAATAAATAAAAATGTAGTAAATAAAAAGGGTTTCTTTCTCTGTTTAACCTCTGGCCTTATCCAATAGAAATATAATGTGGGCCCCATATATAATACTTAGTAGCCACATTAAAAAAAAAAAAAAAGTGAAATTAATTTTAATATTCTATTTAACATTGAAAGTATTTGTGCATCTAATCAGTATTTTAAAATTGTTAATGAAATATTTTACTTTGTTGTTGTTAGAGTCTTTCAAGTTTGGTCTGTATTTTTCATTTAACTAAGCACATGTCAGTTTGGACCAGCCACGTTTCCAGTGCTCAGTAGCCCTATGTGGTTAGTGGCTACTATTTAGACAGTAAAGTTTTAGACGAAGTTTTGGAGGTGTTTTTTTCTAACCTATTTTGGTTTGTCTTCCATGGTTTTTTGCTTAAAATGAAAGACTTGGGAATTGAAATGTCTTTGGAAGCTCTTGAATACATGAAGGCTTTGAAGATTTTGAGTTTTACTGTAGTGTGATCTAGGTGCGCTGTTGGGGAAACACCTGATGTCTGCATCTCTAGGTCTCTATTCTTAGTCTAGTCTGATACCCCAGGGGGAAGGGTCATTTGCTGCCTACAGGTGTGGTGCCAGACTTTGGGAGCCAAATAGGGTTAGAAGGTTCTGGGATCTCTGCATTCAGCATGCATACAGTTGATAAATTTCTATTTTTAGATAGTTACCTGTTTCTTGTGCTTGACATTGCCCATTCAAAGAACCCTGTTTTACACTGCCCAGACAAATTCCAGACTTGTGGGGAAGAAGTTGCTCAGGAACATGGAGTAGAAATAAGGATTTAGAGATCTAATGCTTCTTGGCTAGCCCACCCTCCTGCAGAGTTGGAGGACCTCATGCTGACAGCCCCTGAGTCTCCTTAGTTAGGGTTCTGTAAACTGCTGGATGTCAGTATGGAACTGCAGCTCTCTCTGGCCTGCTAAGTCAGCACTGTTTATCTGCTCTTCAGCTTATGAAATTGCTTTTGGCTTCATTCGTTCCTGTTCTCTCAGTTCTGTGGGCTTAACTGTATTTCATTGGGGCCTCAGAGAAACGGAAATGTACAAATGTTGGACCTGCCACATTAGCCCAGGAAACTGTTGATGTCTCTGTAATCACATTTTATAGGATTGTCAACTGAGAAGTGGACACAAATTACCTTTGAATGACTGTAAATCAAAGTTAATCATTCTTTATCTCTTCTAGCCAGTCAGGGAAAAGACCAATAGTATCAGCTCTCATTCTGTCTTAGGAATACTATAGGACCAAGACTTGAGTGTGGGAAGCCATGCTTCAGATCTACAGTATTAGAGATTAGCCTTTATTGTATTCATACACCAGGTGGAAAATCTGAAACTCCAAGAGATTAAGTTACTTTCTTCAGGTCCCGAAGCGGTGGAGGTAGGAATCGATCTCAAAGCATCCCTTCTTGGGGGCCAGCAGAGGAAACTGGATAAGCAGGTGGCTGCCTAACCACAGAGAGTATAGGACATCAGTTAAGTAGAGATACACTGTTTCCATCACTGAGCAGTAGAAATATTGCAGTAAGCTATGTCAATAGACAGATCAAGGTATCATACCCTTTGCTTGTTTAAGAGAGGAACTTTTTCTGTTGACCTATTTATGGCAATTCAAGTTGTATTTAAAAATTAGGTAAATAAAATGTTGACAGTTTCTTTCTTGTAAGTCATATTATCTTATCCTAATTTTTAGTCTGATTTAAGGGAAACACAAGGACCCTATGGAATTTTGTTTCCCTCATACCAGTAAAACTCAGAGTATTAGCTTTTCCTAATTAAATTGACTTATTTTATGTATCATCCTGGGTTTGTTTCAGTAAAACAGCTGAAGATCATGCTAACTTTGGGGCAGTAATTAATGTAAGGTTTAGACTGATTATCAATGAACTCCCTTTTAATAAAGATATGATTTATGGTGATTATATCAGATTCACTTTATAGATCACATCTGTAGCAAATGTATGTACATTTCTAAATGTGCATATTAACCCGAAGTCTTGTTAATCAGAAGGGACATGTTGAACCATTCAGTAGCTATTCGGTAGATTATTAACAGGGGAAAGGACAGAATGACATTTCTAATATAATTTTTTTTCTTTAGCTCCCAGAACCATTTGTTTTATTTCGATTGTACAAGGAATTTATAGACCTTGCAAAAGAGATCCAACATGTAAATGAAGAACAAGAGACAAAAAAGGATAGCCTCGAGGACAAAAAGTGGCCAAGTACATGTATAGAAATAAACCGAATTCTTCTAAAAAGCAAAGACCTTCTAAGACAATTGCCAGTATCAAATTTTAACAGTCTTCATTACCTCATAGTACATCTTAAGCGGTAAGAACTTTGTATAAGAGGAGCATCCCATTAGTGGATGGATAATTGATCAGTTTTTGTTTTTGCTTTTTTTTAAATTGTAAAATACATATAACAAATTTACCATCTTAATAATTTTAAGTGTACTGTTCAGTAGTATTAAGTACATTCACATTGTTGTGCTATTGTTGTTTTTTCTTTTATTTATTGATTTGAGAGGGAAAGGAGAGACATTGATTTGTTGTTCTTATTTATATATTCATTGGTTGATTTTTGTATGTGCCCTGACTGGGGATCGAACCCGCAACCTTGGTGTATCGGGACAACGCTGTAACCAATCGAGCTATCCTGTCGGCTGTGCTGATGTTTTTTAAATGAACATTTCACTTCTAATATGTGTTAGGGGAAGGGAGATAATGAATATATATATTCATGTAACCAGCATCTTTCCCTCAGATGCCTCCTATGTGCCAGGCTCTGGTTGGGGAAACAAGAATGAAACAAGGTTTCTGTCATCTGCTGTGCTTGTCAACTTGGGGGACAGACCAGTGCAGTGCAGCATCGTTCATGTTGTAATGGAGCTATACACAGCATGCAGAGGAAGATGGGGGTGGGGAGGGAAAGATGGGGGCATCATGAATCAGAGAAAGTAGCTCTGTGCCAGACTTGAAGAACTAAACAATGTTTTGGTGGCAAAGAATGTGCAGAAGAGTGTAAGAGACATAAGAGATCATTTTGCATTTGGGAAGTGTAAGTGATTTGGTTAGGCGAGGATATAACAAGCAGTGGCAGTAGTGAGCTAGATAGAGGCCTAGTAAAGAAGATCTTGCCCTGGCCAGTTTGGCTCAGCAGTTAGACGGTTGGCTCATGGACCAGAGAGTCCCGGGTTCTGTTCCCGCTAAGGGCATGTACCTCGGTTGCAGTGTGTCCCTGGTCCCGGTTGGGGTCGTGTGGGTGGCAACCACTCAATGTGACTCTCTCTCATCGATGTTTCTCTCTCTCTTCCTCCCTCTCTCCCTCCCGCTCTATCTGAAGATAAATGCAAAAATGTCCTCGGGTGAGGATATAAAGAAAAAAAAAGAAAAGAAAATCTCACATACTTGGCAGATGAGTTGACTCTTCCTTCTGTACCCACTAAAGAATTTTGAGCCAGGAACTTGACATGCTCAGATTTGTCTGTTAGATCTTTCTGGAAGCAATATGGAGAATGGTTTGGAGGGGAGGCCTTTAGTTCAATTCAGATTTCCTTGAATAGTCATAGAAATAAAAGGTGGTGAGAGCTTGAAGTAAGGCCAGAGCAGTGGCAGGGACAGGAGAGCAGAGAGGTCTTTAGGAAGTAGAATCAGCGAGGCTTGAAGACTAGCTGTGGGCAGTGAGAGAGAATTGGACAGGGATGTTTACGTTCCAGCCTAAGGACCTACAGCTTTTAGGGGTATTTTTTTTTTTTTTTAATTTTTGCTGGTAAAACTCTAGTAGTTCCTTCTACTTACTTAAAATTTATCTTGATAGTATGAAACCCAACTTAGTGCGTGGTCAACATTTAATCAAATTTTTTTTTCTTGGACCTATTTTTTCTCAATCCTTCTTAGCCCACAGTTAACTGCTGTCAAGGAACTTTAACAGGCAAATCTCATACAGCTGTATGTGTTCTACTCTGCAGGGTCGTAGATCATGCTGAAGAAAACAAGATGAACTCCAAAAACTTGGGGGTGATATTTGGACCAAGTCTCATTAGGCCAAGGCCCACAACTGCTCCTATCACCATCTCCTCTCTTGCTGAATACTCAAATCAAGCACGGCTGGTAGAGTTCCTTATTACTTATTCCCAGAAGATCTTTGATGGGTCCCTACAGCCACAAGATGTCGTCGTGTGTAGTACCAGCGGTGTGGCACCTCCGGTGGAGCAAGGCTGTATTCTGAAGCCTCTGTTATCACCAGAAGAAAGAGACCCAGAGCATTTCATGAAGCAGCTGTTTTTCTCTTCAAAGGAAGTGAGTTTTGACCTTTATGGAATTGTGTTGGAACTTTGTAGTGTTTATGTTGTTAAAAAATGTTTGAACTGTTTGTTGTGAGGTGTGTTTTGCTTCTTCAAGTTTAAAAATTCTCTCCCATCTACAGGATGTCCATACTGCAGGCAGTGAAACCAAAATTCCTGAACCAGCTGCATCATATGAGGAATCAGAACAAAAGCAGAATGCGTTAGAAAAATGTGATGCATGTCTCATTGGTGAGTGGCCATGTAAAATACTGACTTAAAACTATGTCAATAAGTCTGGCTAGTGTGGCTCACTGGTTGAGCATCGACCCATGCACTAGGAGGTCGCTGGTTCGATTCCGGTCAGGGCACATGCCCAAGTTGTGGGCCTGATCCCCAGTGGGGGCCGTGCAGGAGGCAGCCAATTGATGTTCTCTCTCATCGGTATTTCTCTCTCTCTCTCTCTCTCTCTCTCTCTCCCCCTCTCTCTAAAATAATGGGAAAAAAAGGAAAAAATGAAAAGTATTAAAAAAACAACTATGTCAATAAACCATGAATAAAAGCCAAGGTGAGCAGAGGTGAGAGAAGTCAGAGAAAGAAGCTTCTTCTACTAAATGGATCTTGCTAGCCATAAAGAAAGTTGTCTTTTAGTGTACCTTTTTTTTTTTTTAAATCCTTACTCAAGGATATTTCTCTATTTATCTATCAGATAGAGAGAGAGAGAGAGAGAAACTTCAGTGTGAGAGAGAGATACAGACTGGTTGTCTCCTGAAGGCCCCAACTGGGGCTGGGGACGCACCACAATCAAGGCCCTGCCCTTGACTGGAATCGGACCCACAACTCTGGTCCAAGGGCCAGCGCTCTAACTGCTAAGCCAGACTGGCCTGGGCAGTATACCTTACTTTTAAATGAATATCATTCTTCATAATAGTCTTTCTTATAAAAAGATATCTTGGAGTTTATAGTTGTTTTTTGAGCTCTTTCTGAACATATTTTTGTTTTTATTTTTGCCCAATTACAGTCATGGCAGAAATGTGTTAAATAGTGTGATAGTTCACTAGCATCTCTGTTACTGTTGATCTCACTGCTCACAAGGAGTCAACTAGACTCCTAAAATTTTTTAAATTTAGAGTCTTAAAGCTCCTAAATATTTTTTTTTTTTTTTGGTACATGACCCTAGTGGGAACCGAACCTGGGACTCTGGTCTGCAGGCCAATCCTCCAACTGCTGAGCCAAACCGGCCAGGGCGTAAAATTTTTTTTTTTAGATGTTTTACCTGTCACCTGCCTTTAGCACATTAAACACATACATGTTTATGTCTTTTTATTTCCATAGCTGCAGTCATTTTATTCACTGTAGGATAATTTTAGTTGCAGTTATTGGTAACTGACAACCTAGTGGAAAGGCTTTCATTTATTACTGTAATTCTATACATCACTAGAGCTAAATTCCAATTTAAAAAATTCAGCCATATGTGTTCAATTTGATATATAATCAAATAGTGGCGACATAGCCTGTCTGGGTTTCAAAAGTAGGGGAGCCAGCATTCATTTAGTATCTACCTGTTATCTGCTAAGCACTGTGCTTACTGTTTAATTACGTTTATCTGACTTAATCTTCATATCAGTTCTATAAAGTAGGTAGTATTAGCCCCACTCAACCATAGCCTAATAGTTCAAGAGAAGTGAACTCATGCCAGAGGTCATGCCCCTGATAAATTGTTCAGTCTATATTTGAACCTATGTTTGTGCTTATTTCACTATCCCATGATCTAGTGCTCCCAATTAGAATACTTATAATAATAAATGTTTCTTGTGAGTGCTTATTGTATACCAGACAATTCCAAGCAGATTAGATCATTTAGGCTACATGTCAGTATAGATGCAGTTATGATTCTCTTCTGACAAATTAAGACACTGAGGAACAGTGAGATTGCCTTGCCCTGTGCAGAAGTTGTAGAGCTGAGCTAACCCCAGCAACTGGGCTTCAGAGTGTGCACTTTTCCACTATTAGGCTATGAGTTTTCCCTCAGAACTTAAGAATATACTTTGATGGGTGTCTACAGCTCGACCACAATGAGGTCTGTAAACGTGGGGAGGGAGAACAGCAGTGTTACTTTGGAAGCCCAGAGAGTAGAGGTCAGCAGTCTCAGATAAGCAGGAAGGTCAGATAAGATGACAGCTGACAGTGATTCTAATGGGCACCTGTCAGCAGGCCACTGCCCAAAAGAGCATGGGCAAAGGGCTGAAGTTTTCCAGAAACAGAATTTCTTAGGGCAAACGCAGCAAAAAGAACAGGGCTTATAGGCAGTCAAGGTTCTAGTTTGAGAAAACATGGGCCATGGGTCCAGACTTGATAGGAAAGAGAAGAAAGTAAGTTGAGGAGTAAATAATACATGGAATGCATGGCTTTTTTTCCTTAAAGTAAACCTATTGAACCTTAATTGGACAGGATGAATGTTGTAGTTCATTTGTTACTTGATCAGATTGAAAGACATCTAAGGCATTTCGTATAATATGCTCTCACTGCGGGTTGAGGGTACACGAGTAGCAGATTTAGGCAAAAGTGTTGGGATTCAAGGGCATACCTATATTTGGCTGGCTGTAAATTGGTGTGATTTTTCTGAGGTGAATTTAGCAATATCTGCCTGTTGAAATCATGACAATTCTTTGACCCAGCAATTACTTGTTTGTTTATGCACGGCACATAAAAAGAAGTACTTCAAGTGTTGTTTTTCTTTTTTGTTTTTTACTAACCTGCAGTGGATTTTGTAGCGTTTATTATATTGATTTGGGTAAATATAAAATTCTAACATTTTTATTCAGCATCTGTCTTTAAACTCCTCTGCATAGATAACTGAGAATAATGGAAAAAATATGTAAGACCCTTGTTGTTTGGAAAGCATGTTCATCTGTAACTCAATAAATCTCTTCCTTTTTCAGACAACAGAGTTCATTGGCTTACTGACCAAGAGCTTGATTCAGCATCACAAAAGATGGAAGATGTTTATAAATCCTCCAAGCCATTAACTCTAAAATCCAATAGGGAAACTAACAGTATTGTTGAGAGGTATACTCCAAGGACCAAGACTAGACCTGTAAGTTTGCCTGTCGATAGACTGCTGCTTCTTGCAAGCTCTCATGAGAGAAATGGCAGAAATATCGGAAATGTAAATTCAGACAAGCTTTGCAAGAATCCTACCTTTGAAGGAGTTAATAGAAAAGACACCCCTAGTGTTTGTTGCAAATTTGATGGCTTTGACCAGCGGACTCTACAAAAAACTGGAGATAAACAAAATGACCTGAATGCAAAGACTTCAGTGATCGTATCCAGTACACTCCAGGAAGGAGTGGTGACGAGCACCAGGATTGATGGGGACCCTCCAGTCAGTGCCACCCAGCCCAGTAAGCCATACACAGAACCAGTCAGGTCAGCAAGACAAGTGTCGGAGAGAAGGTCCTCTGACTCCTGCCCTCCTGCTCCTGTCAGAGCACCCAGAACACTCCAGCCCCAGCACTGGACAACGTTCTATAAGCCACGTGCTCCTGCTGGTAGCGTGAGGGGGGTTGAGGACAAACCTGCAGCATCCTCCCCAGCTCATGCTCCTCAGGGGCACGTGCTGAAATCAACTCCAGACTCAGAAAATGCACCAGCTTGCCCCGTGCAGCCACCAAGTGAGCCTAAAGAGAACTCCGAGGAACATGACTTGCCCAGTGTGCATCCAACGTGTCAGAGGCCGAGGCTTAAACGGATGCAACAATTTGAAGACCTTGAAGATGAAGCCCCACAATTCGTGTAGAATTGACAGAATTCAGCTTTTCTTTTTTAAGTGTTGGTATTTTGTTTGTTTTATGAAAGAAGTTTTGACAGGGCCCCTTTTGTGTAGGATTGCCAAATACGGATTTTGCTTTTTGTCATTGTATTGTGTTACCCTGTGTTGGTTATATTGAATGGTAGACTGTTTTTGGTAGGGCCACGTCTGTGTCTCACTGGAATTATCTGTATTTTTGAAGTTGTGAATAAGTAGGTGGACTCATATTTTTTAAAGTCTGGTTGATTTTCCCCATAAAATGGTCCATTTAAATGCATCCCTAATATATGATATAGTTTTCAACTAATAGCTGCAATAGGGAAAAATGAGCTTTATTTTTTTGAAATGAAACTTTGTGCTTATTTATAAAAGGAATGTTTCTGAATGCAAGTGCCTGAAAGATCTTTGTTTAGTATGATTGTTTTTTAAACACAATTTTATAGTACATCTTTGACCATTGTGCATTTACGGTATGTATGTAAGCTTTTATTTTTCAGTTGGCAGTTTACTTAACTTTTAAATATTTACATAATGGCCAAAAGGCTTGCAAATTTGTATTTAATTGTATTTCAGTTAATTGCCAGATTTACAAATGGTAGTCAGTTGAATTGTACAAGGAAAATGCACTTAAACCTGTTTCTAAATTATATAGTGCAGTTATGTCGTATTTGGCTTTAGATGGTTTTAATACATTTAATAGTTTTTTACCTTTTGGCTTTGTTCTGCATAAACTTTTGTTGTTCAACAGTTCTGAACCTTTTGGTATTTTATGGTCCAAAAAATGTTTTAAAATTTAATGCATTTCCTCTTGATATTATCTAGATTTTACAAAAACAAACCAAACATTTCTTTTTTATGAAATGTTTTTACTTATGAATAATTTTGTGTACGTTTTCTACCTGGACAATGTATGTTTCATCTGAACCGTGCAAAGATTTATTTAAGTTGATTCTAAGTATAGTTCAGTAAGCCTCATTGTTTGGAATTTGAGAGGAGGTATCGATGATTGGATATATTTCACGTATAAAATTCCCAGTTTTTAGAACTAGTGCAGTTCTGTTATTTTCTGGGTTTCATCATTTTGCCTAAAATAGGATATAAAAGGGACAAAAAATAAAATAGCCTCCTTTTGTATGTGTGAATTCTATTTGTAGTAAATGCTTTTGTATGACCATATTGTACTTGATACAAAAATATCTATATATATATAGATATATATATATAAACCTGTTAAATTATTGCAAGTTCTTGTGGCTTTTCTGAAATTGTTGCCTCTTAGGGGGTGAAATTTTAAGACTTATTAACGGTTGGCTTAGTGATCAACACTAGGCCCATAGCCCCTTGACTGGATACAACATGGAATGCATTTTACAGGAAGTTGTTACATAGTTTTATATAATAAATCCTTTGTACTGGGCCTTGTCTTTAGTCCTCATTGTACAAAATATAAAAGAATTGCCCTGGCCAGGTTTGCTCAGTGTTAGAGCATAGCGCCGCAGACCAAAGAGTCTTGGGTTCATTTCCGGGCAAGTACCTCAATTGCGGTTCGGTTCCTGGCCCTGGTCAGGGTCATGCAGGAGAAGAACGGTTGTTTCTCTCTCACATCGATGTTTCTTTCCCTCCCTCTCCCTCTCTCCCTCCCTCCTTCCCTCCCTTTCTCCCTCCCTCTCTCTCTCCCTTCCACTCTGTCTGAAGATAAATGGAAAAATATCTTTGGGTGAGGATTAAAAAAAAAAAAAGAATTGTATTACTATGAAAACCCAAAAGAAAGTAAGAGCCAAGAGTTATTGAGCCATTTCTCTGTGCCATGAACTCTGCTAAGTTCCTACATAAATTATTTCAAGTTCACAGCAGCCTAGGAAAGTGTTTCACTGTTCCTTTGTTATAGATGTGGAAACAGGCTTAGTTCAGTGATGTGCTCTAAGTTCCACAGGTTAACAGTTGGGGTCATGTCTCAAACACAGGGCTGTCAGATTTTGATGGTTAGTGCTCTTAATGGCTGTGTAATTAATTACTAAGTAAAAATATCACGCAGTGTTTAACAATCGGAAATTCATTCGCCTTTTGGTGGCATAAGATACATTCACTTTTTTTTTGTAACCATGACCAGTATTCACCCAGAACTTTCTCATCATCCTACATTGAAACTTAGCACTTTCAAATTTCTTTGGTTTTCTTTTACTGTATTGAGACAATCTGGTGAAAGGATATGTAGTCAATCACCATGCCTCTTTGTTTCACCTCACTGTAAACCTCACAGTGAGAATTCCACTTTGGGGTTTTTCCAGCCTTTAGGACTCTGGCATCTTGTCCAGCTTATGCTGTTAGTCTGTAGATTCTTTTTAGTTTCCTGGGGCATTAAACAAGTAATCTCCTGAGAGGATGTTGCCGTTTCTAGAGAACCCACAGTGTGCACTGTGCCCTGCTTCTCAGTCCTGTGCAGTCATCCATCAGGAAGCTGTTTTATGGCACATGGAAAGAATGTGAGCTGGCGGAAGGGGCCGTCGTGGGGAGTCCCTTTAGAACTGCCAGACCACCAGAAAGCTTTGTGGGAAGCATATTGTTCAAGTTTCCAAGAAGTCATTTGTGAAGGGTTGATAATTATTTCCCTAGATAGCCTTGCTTTACATGCTGAGAACTTAATTAGAATTTATAAGTATAATTGCTTTCAGTATACTTTAAGCAATGTATTTCTTTTGATACAGAGATAAAGCTATAACCACTATGAGAGATTTGCTGCCCCGAGATCTCAGAAGCAAATAGAATCACACCTCACTTCCACGGGTGATTTAACTTAAAGCTGGTACTGTGGTTACACTACCCCAACTAACTTTGTTACAGTATTTGTACAAGTGTGAAATCTCTAAATGGCAGGCATCGTGTATTTTTATGACAAATTATAGTCAACATAATTCTCTGGGTTTTTCCTCCTGAGGCAGGAAATTGTTAATGTGTTGTATGATTAATGTAGACAATTCAGTAACTACAATTATAGTAATCTACAGTTTAGCAAAGTTGTTACATTCACAGTGTCAGTTGTATGTGTATCACCAACCAACAGAAAAGCATAGTTTTTAGGTCTCTTAAACTATAGCTTAAAAATTTGAAATACTAGCCCTGGCCGGTTTGGTTCAGCGGTTGGAGCGTCAGCGTGGGGACCAAAGGGTCCTGGGTTCGGTTCCTCCTGGGGCATGTACAAAAAAAAAATTGAAATACTAAAGAATAGATCTAACAAAATATATATAAGATCTCCATGGAGAAAATTTTAGACTCTTATCAAGAGGCATTTAAGGAGATCTTAAATACATAGAATGCTCCATGATGTACAGTGTACATGTATTAGAGGACTCAACATTGTGAGGATGTTTATTTACCTTACATTTATTTATAGATTTCAATGTAGGTCCCATCCAATATAATTTTTGAACCACTTGGAAGTAAGTTGCAGAGATATTGTCTCAAAACAAGAATGCTCCTACAGCCCGGTTGTTGTGGCTCAGTGGTTGAGCATCGACCCATGCTCCAAGAGGTCACCAGTTCAATTCCCAGTCAAGGCACATGCCCAGGTTGTGGGCCAAATCCCCAGTGGGGGGCATGGAGGAGGTGGCCAGTTGTCGTTCTCTCTCATGGATATTTCTCCTTTCCTCTCTCTCAAATCAATAAAGAAAAAAAATTTTTAAAAACCCAACACAACAGAATGCTCCTACATAACCAACCATACCATAGTATGACCATTCAATCAGGAGGTTACCATTGGCATGTGAGATCTAATCGGCAGACCACATCCCGATTTGCTGATTGTCCAGATCATGTTTCTCTGTGCTCCCGCATCGCAGGATCACACGGGGGACTTCCCTGTCCTCTCATCTCCTTCGTTCTGGAGCAGTTTTTCAGTCTTTCTTTCATGACCTTGATACTTGAAGAGTATAGGCCAGATATTTTAAAGAATGTCCCTCAGTTTGGGTTTATCTAGTGTTTCCTCATGATTGGATTCAGGATATACATTTTTGTCAGGAATACCACAGAAATTATGTATTCTCACTATCATACCATGAGGTGCACTTATCAGATTGTCCCATTCCTGGTGAAGCTAACTTGGATCCCTTGGTTAGGATAGTATCTATATTTCTCCATTGCAAAGCTAATAAAAAGAACTAAGTGAGGAGATTTTTTTTGAGCTATGTAAATGTCCTGTTTCTTACAAATTGTTGCCAGTTAGAGTCCATTAACCTTTCTTGCTTGAATCAATTATTACTATTCTGGTCGCCAAATGGTTCCTTATGCTTTGATCGATATTCTACTATATGAGTGGTCACTTCTCCATTTGGTCTTTTGTTTATTCCTGTATTTGAGTATGGACTCATGGCTTTCTATTTTATTCAGTAAGCTACAATATATTACTGTCATTTATTTTGAGACTTTTGCCAGATTTGGTCTATGGGAATCTCTTCTAGCTCACTTCTGTGTCCTTTTGACTTTTTTAGTTCGTTCTTTCTCTCTCTCTCTCTCTCTCTCTCTCTTTCTTTTTTCCTCACCCAAGGACATTTTTCTACTTTTTGTTCAGATAGAGTGGGAAAGAGAGGAAGAGAGAGAGAGAAACATCGACATGAAAGGGACCCATCGAGTGGTTGCCACCCGCACGACCAACCCGGGCCGGGGACAAACTGCAACCGAGGTACGTGCCCTTAGCGGGAACCGAACCCGGGTCTCTCTGTACCGCAGGCCGACGCTCCAACCACTGAGCCAAATCGGCCAGGGCAGTTCTTTATTTTTTGACACAAGCTTATCCCAAGCTTATCTTGTACTTTCCCCTGCCCCAGCCATTTTTCCAAGGAGCCCTGGTCCCTTTCAAGGGAAAACAGTATATGGAAAACAAGAGCTGAGACGTATTCATTGCTTCAGGAAAGCCATCTGTTTTTTTATCCTCATCCAACGACATTTTTTGCATTTATCTTCAGATAGAGTAGGAGAGAGAGAGGGAGGAAGAGAGAGATAGAGACATTGATGTGAGAGAGACATCGAGTGGTCGCCACCCACACGACCCCAACCGGGGCGGGGGACAAACTGCAACCGAGGTACGTGCCCTTAGCGGGAACTGAACCCGGGACTCTCTGGTCCGCAGGCCGACGCTCTAACTGCCGAGCCAAACCAACCAGGGCAAGCCATCAATTTTAAGCCCTGCTAGTGGACAGATCAAAGAAGTACATGTGTGTACACACACAGACACATGGGTATTTCTGTACATAGATGTCCCTCGTTTATCGCCATTAACCCGTTCCAGACTCCAGCGGTTGCACCTGGCGTTGAAGGGTTCCTGGGGTGCTCGAATACATAGGCCTGCATACGTACAGTCATTTTAATTTTAATTGTAATTCAGGGGCACATAATTGACTCAGACAACCAAACACACGCTGTATCATTTTCACTGTCTCGGTCTACTTTTTAATGAATATACTTGAAAAAACCGTGATAGAGTGAACCCCGAAAGTGGAAGCGGGAAGTGGCGAGGGACGACTGTACATAGATGGTGAAAACCTTGAGTTCACACTGATTCCTTCAGTTCTAGTTCAGTACCTCAGGGTTCGATCAAGTCTTTGTGTGTTTGTGATGCCTTCTCTCCTGGTGACAGACCGGGCTCCCACAATCCTCAATGTCGTCTTTGCTTACTCTTCCTTAGCCTTTGAACCTCCCGACAGTGCCAGCTGCTCCTTGGCCCACCTAGCCCCAAATATGCCAAAGAAATCCCCAACTGTCGCTGCCCTGGTCCTGCCCGCACGGATCCCTGACTGTTGAAACCCTATCAGCGAGGGCAAGGCCAGCTGATGTCAATCCCGACGGTGCCATTTGAATCCTAGACCCCGATCATCTGGCTGAATCCTCCACCCCAATGGGAAGGGGAAGGGAGGAGGAAATTCCTGATCTTTTGATAATAAGCATTTGTTTACAAACAAATTAAGTATTTGTTTATTGAATTTATTAGGAAAAATTTAAAAATGAGTGGTTATACATATTTATGAGAAATGTTTAGCCCTGGCACTGAAAGTTTATGGTTTTTTTATTTTTATTTTTATTTTACTTTATTGTTGACAGTATTACAGATGTCGCCCTCCTCTACCCAACCCCCGCCCCTCCGCAGGCCTTCCCCACGCTGTTGTCTGCGTCCATGGGTTATGCATATATGCATATATATCCTTTGGGTAATCTCTCCCTGTCCCCTCCCCCAGCAGCTCCCCCTCAGATCTGTTACTCTGTTTGATTCCCAGTCAGGGCACTTACTCAGGTTGTGGGTTCCATCCCTGGTTAGGGTGCCCGTGGGAGGCAACCGAGCGATGTTTCTCTCCCTCTCTCTTTCTCTCTCTAAAATCAATAAAATACATA